CTCTCTCTCTCTCTCTCTCTCTCTCTCTCTCTCTCTCTCTCTCTCTCTCTCTCTCTCTCTCTCTCTCTCTCTCTCTCTCTGTGTCTGTCTGTCTCAGTGTCTCTCTGTGTGTGTGTGTGTGTGAGAATGCCCTTACAGAACTCAGATTGCTAGTCACGTAAGTATAGGTTTCAGTGATGGCTTGATTAATACCCTGGGGCACAACCGATGAATGAATATGTTTTCTTCTTTTTTGTAATTTGGACCATTTCTCAATTTATGCGTGTCGCCCTTGTGCAGGGGCAATTCTAATCTTCTGTGTATTATTCAAATCCTAACGGATGTCCCAATCCTGTCAGTCAAGCAAGTGATTGCGGGCAAGACCATTCTAGTAGCCTAGACACGAAACAGTCAATCGGAAAAAGTATGGGGTTTGAATTCAAATTCTTAGGGCCTCCCTGCTGGAGGGCATCTCAGGAAGATGCATCCCCCACAGAAGGGCAAATCGGACAGGCAGCGGGGAAATAGGACCGCCGGTACGGTAGGGGCATTCCGAAAAGTTGTGCCCCTCACTGACAGCGGCCTGCACGAAAGTTCAGAGGCCCAGGGGCATATCAGGGTCGGAGGGGGAAATTGCAAATAAAGGCAAACTTCAGGGGCATTTCGAAAATTTTCCCGAAAAAAAAATAATAAAAAAAATCCATGTGACCAGAAATTGTCGACCGCAGAGATGGAAAAATTGCAGTCACCCATGAATCTTCATCCCCTTGCCTCTGTCCTCAAGGCGCCAACTTCTGTAACCCTGCTCCCTCTCCCTACCACACCTCTCCCTCCGGGCCACTCCAGAAGTCGTCGCTGGAAGAAACAGAAAGAAGGGGCGAACCAAACGGTTCCTGGCTCCTGCGCAGCACAGCTGTGACCAGTTCCGGTGCGTCACTGAGTACTATTAAGTGTACGGATACTCACATCTTGGCCCGGTCAGGCAAGTGATCGCGGGTAGCCTAGACACGAAACAGTATATCGGGAAAAAAATAAATAAAATCCAGGTGATGAGAAATTTCAAATCAGATGGCCGAATTGCAGTCGCCCATGAATCATCATCCTCCTTCCTCATTCGTCAACTTGAAGGCGCCAACTCCTGTATCCGTCCTCCCTCTCCCTACCACGTCTCTGCCTCCGGGCCACTCCAGAAGTCGTCGCTGGAAGAAACAGAAACAAGGAAAACAGTTCCTCTTCGTCACTGAGTAAGCGTTTTTTTTTTTTTTTTTTTTTTTAAGAAACACCCCAAACGGGTGCTACGGTGCTGGGGAGGCTCCGTCTAGTGGTGGGGACCAGCACCTGGTAATATTATAGTAATTGATAATTGTATAGCAATCTCCTTTTGCTGAACGTACAACTAAGAGAAACCAAACCAACTCATAGATGAGCACACACCAAGAAACCCGACATAGCGAGATCGACACACATAGCAAGACCACACCAAGAGGAGAGGTAGACAAACAACAGAAGTTCTCCCGAACGCGACCCTGGATGGGTCAAAGGATATAGCATCACAACCCATCCGCCACCAGCAACGTGCGAAATCGACAGTTTCCTGACTATCTTCAGTTCCCTGTCAACGTAATAAACAGCTAGTAGCATTAGCGCGGCCCGACGCCGGGTTTCGGCCGGTCGCCAGCCAGCCTTCATCAGGGGCCTGAATCGCGAAATGAAGGAGGATTAGTTCTGTGTCAATGTCCTCCTTAGGTAATCCATCGTCAACTCATCGCTTACTCAAACCCACGCTTCTACAGACCCCATACACTCCGAGAGAAAAAATTAAGTCACAGCCCGGCCAGTCAACAACCCAGACCCTACCCTTGAAAAACGGCCAACCCCATACATTCGTATCACATAGCAGACCCAACCGGTTTGCCAAAAAAAGAAAGAACTACCCCGAACCGTTCTACATCACACCACTGTGTACCCACATATTAAACCCGACCGGTATGCCAAAAAAGAACCACCCCATCCGTTCTACATTACTTGGCTGTGTACCCACGTCTAAACCCTCAGCGCCAGACCAAAGAATTATCAGAACAAATGAACTAGCCGAAATCTTCTTATTAGAGCCGAGACCACACAGTAGTGTACCTACCTCTAAGCCCTCAGTGCCAAACCGAAGAAGTATCAAAACCAGTAAACAAGTCAAGATCTTCTTCTCAGCAGAAAGCGGAAATAACGCTCAGATTAGCCAGAGAAAGCAAAGTCAAGTAGCCCAACTGCCAAACAAAATGCCGAAGGTGAACGAGCAGAGAACAGAATGGGGTGGAAGTGGACAGATCCCAGCACCCGAATAGAGATTATCAGAGCCTTACCCAGAGAGACAGAAGAATCAGATTGGCCAATATAGAACGGGATGCCGAGCGGAAAGCTTCTTATCGAAGGCAGAGAAGAGTGCCCAGAAGAGAATGGAAATAGTGTTCAAATTATCCAGGGAAAAAGCAAAAGGACTAAACAAGAACTCCCAAGACAGCGAAGAAGCAGACATAAGACAGAAAGCCATGGCAGACCAAGTCAACCCAGTCAATTGTGCAGACATCAGACAAGGGGTCAAAAAAGTAAAGACACCAAATCCTCAAAAAAAAAAAATCCTACTCACCCACCCCTCAAAACACGAACCCAACCCCCTTTCCCTCCTATGGATCCACCCCAGTTCACATCCCACCCCGTAAAACATTCAACCCAGACAGCCCACAGTCCTCCAAACTTGCTGGAGAAGTTCCTTAATGTAGAGTCAAAGTAGTGATCCGGAAAACTACGCAATCGGAGCTCGATCTTCAAAGTTAGCAAAAAAGCAGCCTCAGTTCCCTGCAGCGTTGTAAACCTCTTCGCACGGTATAAGAATGAGGCAATAACCGCCAGCTTCTGCTGCCGACTCGAGTACGAGCAGAAATCCTGCAAGTTCTGAAAAACCAATTTGCCATTCCGCACCACATCCTGGTTCTTATGCTTGGCCATACGCACAATCCCTTCCGGTCTCACACCACCACGCAGCCCAGAAAATCCCAAAACGCACCCTCATCAGTACGTTGCAAGGTGAGCTTCTCATGATAACATTCCCTAAACTTCTCAATCACCTCCTCCGCCCTCCTTCGTCTTCACCCAACTTATATCGTACAAAGATAGATACATCATCAACAGTTCGTGTGCCATACGTGATTGACCTCCTTGTGCCCAGCGAATTCAAGAACGTGAACTCCGCAAATGCACATAGCAAACATGCAAGGGCTGGGCTCAAGGCTTTGCCCATCGGGATCCCAACTCGTTGTTGCAAGATCACACTGCATGCCACCACATACGTACAACTCAGGTCAAATTCAACAAAACGAATAATCTCATCGAAACCAATTTTCGTCCACCCAATCTGTCCATCCCCCATTCTCACCTTCGCCCCTTTCCCTCTTTCTTGAAGCAAAATCCCCAGTCCACCCCGTGCCAACCAAAAGTCAACAATCCATCGTACCGCCTCCATCACCGCTTTGTGAGGTAAGTTGCAGAACATTTCTTTAATATCAAAAGCCGCCGAGACAAAACTCTCACTTCTTCTCAGATCCTTATTGGCGACCGCAATTCTCTGCACCCGCTCCTCAGTGGAACGCATATTAAAGTTACTTCTTGCCGGCATGTCCCAAAGCATCTGGTTGACCACCCTCGCCACCCTCTTGCTAGCCTTATTCCCACACTCCTCATAGGTGGGACAAATCGGTCGCCATTTTCGAATGTCCTTGTGCTTCGGAATGGTGTAACAGCTACCCAACTTGCCTTCCCTGTTCCACTTTCCCAGAGCGCCAACACCCAACCCCTCAAAGCGTAGTCCATTAGATTTGTTGATTTCCTCCTCCTCCCGCAAACATATCTCGAAGCCCGGGTTCTTAACAAACATCTCATCAATACCTTTTCGATAAATCATTGGGCAGCACACAAGCAAATCCCCTGGATTATGATCGATTGGACATCGCACCAATCTCTCAAATCGCTCCTTCCACTGATCAACCTTATCCGTGTTACAAACCCCCCCATTCACATCACCAACTCTGTTAAAACAATCCTTCATCAGATCCCCCGACATCATGCCACCCAATTCCCTACGAGACCCTGATCCAGCGATTCCCAATCGATCAAAGGCCGATAGTAACTGCGTTTTGAGAGAACGCCGCAAGCAACCAGCCGATGGCCTGGGGATATTTCTGGCATTCTTCAGCCATCCAGGAACAAATCCAGCCTCACTTGTCCTGAAGCACACATGCCCGTCCTGTCGAGGAAACATACCCTCCTTTTCATCACAAGAACAGACCACATCCTTCTCTCTTGACATCGCCCGAACATTGTACAGAATATCCCCAACACTTCGATTCCTCCCCCACACCACTCTCATCCTTCTTACCAACATCCACTTCCAACCAACCGAGATTTCCAACTTCTCCAACATGGCAACACACAACTTTCGAATCCCCGCTTTGTTCAAACACTCATCAAACACAATCTTAACCACCAGTCTACTGCGCACATTGCAATCAAACCTTCGACGAATAACACCAGAGAGTAAGCACCTCAGAGTATACCTAGTACGTTTCTCAGAAAACGCTTGCACAGCACTGTACAACCAAACCAACCTCTCAAATTCCCAGGAGAGCAATTGCTTACGCGAGGGAGGATTGCTTAATAGACCAGCAAGCAGTGGCTTAAATACCGCCAAAGATGAACAGAAAGAGATAATGTTAACAAAATGAATTTGTACCCCGTCCGCCAGCCATCCTCTCACCCTACGTAGCTGCACTACCCCAAACCGCGAGCTGACCTCCGATGACCCGTAACATCGCTTCAGAAGCTTCCATTGATTGACCAAAAGATGACCCCCCCGACACACCACACTCATACTCGAGAACCCGTTGCCCCTACAATCATTGAGCAGTTTGAGCAGGCTCACCGAAGCAGTACCATCTGATGCTTCAAAGTTCAGATGCGTGTTTCCCCTGCTCAACGACACATCTTCAACCACACGAGCCCTCCTACGGCGCTCCCGTTTACCAGCTCGCCGCCGACGGTGTCTCCTTGGTCGATCCCTACTATTGAGGTAGGCCGAAATCAAAATAACAAACTTCTCCAAATCAAACAGATCACCCTCCAAACAGCGAATAAGAGGAAGAGCGACATATTGCTGCGACCCACACCTTTGTAACCATCTGTAAAGACGCTGGTTCCTTCTTCCCGACGCCACCACCTGTGCATTATTCACCCGAAAGAGATGCTCCCTCCATCGTATGTCCAGAGATCTACTAGTAGCACCCACATACATGTGCTTAGCCCATGGGGACATCCATACATACACGACCGGCCCTTTGCATCTTACCAAATCGACACCCTCCTCCTGAATCACTTTCAGATAACCGGTCAACTTAGCTGCCCACGGGATTTGACCACAAAGTATGAGAGATAGTACCGCCTTTTTATACACTCCTTCAGACACACCATCACTCACCTTATCCGCAGAACCCGACTTGAAACTATTAACCGTGTTCCATAGTTCAGCCACATTCGGGACGCCTCCTCAAGCCGAGTCCGATGGAACATCCTCCACATGTTCACCCGTTCCTTCCTCCCCAGCAGCACGATCAACCAACCCTCCTTCCTCCACTTCCGCCACCGAATTCGAGGTGCTACCCTCTCGTTTGCCGAAACGAGCATCCGCCCTCATCTCTGCCAGCTCATCAGCCGTAGAGTCAACCGTTTTATATTTTATGCCTTCCTGCTTGCATATGGCTTCCAGACCCTGCTTCTTCAGGGCCCGGAGCTTCTTTCGTTCCTCCTGCAGAAACAGAAATCGGTCATTCTCAACCGTAGCCACCTTCTCCGCTCTCGGCGTTTTCCCTGGAGTCATCCTTGGTCTACCCCTTCTTACTGTCTTCCGCCCACTTGCAGCCGCCGCCTCCAGTCGGTTTTTTAAATCCGTACCTCCCATTGGTGCCTCTGCAGCTTCTGTCGTCAACCTCTCAACCTGCTCCCGCAATCTAGCCACCTCCACCTCCGCTTCACTCCTGCGAGTTTCGACCTCCAACTTCCTAGCCTCTGCCTCAGCTCTTTTTTGCTTCAAAGCCTCCACCTCCCTCAATACACAATACTCCTTATCCTTCATCTGGTGCAACTCTTCACTGAAGTCCTGATTGGGCGATTCCATCACCCTCTGCCTAGTCTGAATGCTCACATCTGGTGTTCCAATACTTATAGTCCCCCGCTTGTTGCCCGGCCTTAGGGCCTCGTTCCTCCACAGCTGTGTTTCCTCCATCGATATCTGCTTCTCCTTCCGAAGAAGACCAATTTCAGACTTCAAACTTACCAACAGATCCTTATCGTTATTTCTCCCATCCCGTAGCTCCTGCACTTCCTTCATCAGTTGCCCCAAGCTATCCTCCAAATTATCACGCGTCAAACATGACCGCTTCCTCAACTCATCATTCTCCTTCAGCAACCTATCAATCAGACTCTCATTGCCACTACCTTCCTTTTCCAGCTTCCGCCTATACTCCTCGTTTTCCCGTTTTAACCCTACCAATTCATCAGCCTCCAGGCTGGAACCTGCGACTTCTTTACCAACACCCGGTCGTACCGGTCCATACATCGACGCCAATTTGTTCTCGAGCCTCTCGCCAACCTTTGCCTCAAACTCTTCCCTCTCCTTCTGCGCTTCCTTTTTTCTTTCCTCCTTTCCTTCTCCTCACGCTCCTTTGCCTTGTCAGCCTCTGCCTTATCGACAAAGGCCACACATCGATCAAGATTCTGCCTCCAATACCCTCCACCACCCCCACGTCCATAACTCGCCGCAGCAACGTAAGCCGGTGCCGTCGCCTGTACCACAGGAGGCTGAGGGTAAACCGCCTGAGCCGGAGCCGGAAGAGCGAGGAGAGGTGCACTAACCGCCGTAGCATTGGCTCCAGTCGCCGGTGCTCTTTGAGGATGAGGGCACTCTCTAGAGAAATGTCCCGGTAACCCACAGTTATAACAGTTGCGAACAAACGGAGCAGCCATGTTCCTCCACAAGCGCAGCCACCCTACTCGTAGTCCAATTCCTACGCAGGTTACTACGCGAACTTATGGTAATTGTATAGCAATCTCATTTTGCGGAACGTACAACTAAGAGAAACCAAACCAACTCATAGATGAGCACACACCGAGAAACCCGACATAGCGAGATCTACACACATAGCAAGACCACACCAAGAGGAGAGGTAGACAAACAACAGAAGTTCTCCCGAACGCGACCCTGGATGGGTCAAAGGATATAGCATTACAACCCATCTGCCACCAGCAACGTGCGAAATCGACAGTTTCCTGACTATCGTCAGTTCCCTGTCAACGTAATAAACAGCTAGTAGCATTAGCGCGGCCCGACGCCGGGTTTCGGCCGGTCGCCAGCCAGCCTTCATCAGGGGCCTGAATCGCGAAATGAAGGAGGATTAGTTCTGTGTCAATGTCCTCCTTAAGTAATCCATCGTCAACTCATCGCTTACTCAAACCCACGCTTCTACAGACCCCATACACTCCGAGAGGAAAAATTAACTCACAGCCGGCCAGTCAACAACCCAGACCCTACCCTTGAAAAACGGCCAACCCATACATTCCTATCACATAGCAGACCCAACCGGTTTGCCAAAAAAGAAAGAACTACCCTGAACCGTTCTACATCACACCACTGTACCCACATATTAAAAGGCGCAGGAAAGAGGGATAGCACACACCTGAAAGTTGAGTCTTTCATTAGGCACTGACATGACGAAAAAGGCGCAGCACTCGATAGAATGCCATGCACCGCTCTCGGGACAGGGCCTCAGATTCATAAAAAAATATTGATTACCAGGGTACCACCCTTACAGAAAAAGGATGGGAAAAGTCATAAAATCTCCCCGCCACGAAACCTTTGTATCCATTTCCCCCCAAACGGGGAAAGAGGTGCCGCAGCCCCCAAAATCAATTTGGGCGTCATTTTTGCGAACTGCAAAACACTTTCCCGCCATTTTTTCGGACCTTGGGCACTTTTTTTCCCGTTTGGGGTGAAATGGATACAAAGGTTTCGTCGAGGGGAGGTTTTATGACTTTTCCCAAAAAGGATTGCTGGGTAAGAGATGGACCATAGAATGCCATGCACCCCTCTCGACATCGAAAGAATGAGCTCCTGACAGAGAATATTGTTCGAGAAGTATATATATATATATATATATACCTCTTCTCCCTCTCTGCCTACGGTTTACCGGGCAGTTCTATTTGACGATATATATAGATAGATATAGATATATGCGTAGCGTTTTCACACACGTCTCAGGAATAGCGGGCCATTCTGCCCCTGCAGGAAGCAGGCAGCGGGCGCTTGCGCTGACCACAAGGGTGTTTCTCGGGTAATCTCGGTCCGTACTGTCTGTACAAATTCGCTACGGTATTATATTGCTGTCGTGATCATCAGGAGCAGAAATGTTGCGGTCAATGTAGGACGGAGGCACGAATTCCGCATTCATCTTCTTCCCCTTGTACCACTTCCTCACACTACCTTGTTCTGGGTGCATCTGAGTGCAACAATGGGCCAGATTCAGACAGGACTCAGACAGCAAAACTCAAAAGTCAGAGTCCGCCCTTAAGGGTCAATCAATGTGAAGGGTTTGGAATGTGCTCCGTCTGAATCTGGCCCATTGTTGCACTTCGATGCATCCATTCCGCGTACGGCATGAATAACATGGTCGTTCTGTGGAAGGAAGGGCCTACTTGCTGTTGCACTACTGGCGATCCTCGATTTTTTTTTTTTTTTTTTTTTTTTTTTTCGCAGCTGGACAGAGAAAGATTATCCAGATGCATTCAAAATGTTGGCGGATGACATGCAGAGCAACTCGGCCCAAGTCACGTCTCTTCTCTTTAGAGTATCGACCTGACATCCTCCCCGTCCGGTAAGGAGCAGTGATCACTGTGAGATCTTTACGACGCGAACGCAGGGAGCTCACACGCTCCTCCGTCAGTGAAGGACAGCCAGCCACTCGTAAAATTCGCAGCTTGTCCATTTTTTGCCCTATCATATCCAAGCTGGCATCTGTAATTTTCGTATCCCACATCTCCAGAACCTCCAAAAAAGGAAAGTTGTCGGAGATGACTCTGACGTGATCATCACAGATGCCGACGTGCATAAGACATAACGATCGCAAGGAAGCGAGCCTCTGGCCGAGGCGATCCAGTTCGACGGCTCTGATTTGCAGAAACGTTAAGCCCAGGACCTCCAATTGCGGAGCATTATCTGCAATGATGCTCAGTTCCTGGCCATCTTTTCCACACAATGCACCGCCGCCCATATTGAACGAAACCAAGTGTGGGAGGCCAGTCACCACGACTCTGACGAAGTCTGACAGGTCAGTGTCAGAGCGTTTCGCGGCACAAGTAGCGATGCTGAAACACATCAGAGAGCGAACTCGAGGACATCCACGAACAAATGCCTCAAGGGTACGAATCCACTCTCCCCCGAAGCGGAAGGACGCGACGTGGAATAGATGTAGAAGCGGACAAGAATCTCCTATTTTCTGCAGGATAGAAGTGTCGCAACGAGAAAGGGTCAGCTCCAGCAGTCGACCTCTGCTCCGCAAAAGGACAACTTCCATTCATTGCGTAGCCTGCCAAGAGGGCAGCATCCAGGACTCAGGAGCAGAAGAAACACGGTGCCAGCTCTTGCACACGCTACCGACACGAAGTCGGTCTAGAATTGGAAGGAAGCTGAAGATGTGCGCAAGCACCTGGTCCATCATTGTCGACCAAGCGTGGCAAGCATCGACAGCCGCACCCTCAACAACACCGACACCCTGGACGTCGAGATCCTCACTCCCCAGACCGGAATAATGATGATGGGACTCGTTGGCTCCATGATCATGACGCCAGTCTGCGACATCCGCACCATGAACCGCACCATCCACAGTGCCTTCAGCAGCACCAACGACAGCATCAATATCGGCACGAGAAAGATGATGATCCGTCTCCCCATGGATCTCCTCCATTGATTGCAGATATACAATCGTAAGTCACAGATTCCGAACCTCCTGTGTCCATCGTAAACAAGAGTCACAAGACCGTCAAGAACACAATCAACATCGTGAGTATTTCAACAGGATCTTATCAACATGGAGTTCCTCTCTCTCTCTCTCTCTCTCTCTCTCTCTCTCTCTCTCTCTCTCTCTCTCTCTCTCTCTC